GCGTGAGGTAATAAATGCGTTGACAGCGGAGATAGCGGTATGCGTCCGGACAACGCTACTGCGAGATGTCATTGACCTCGAGTCTAACTTAGCCTAAATTACATTTAACCACATTATATAGCTAAAAAGTTCTGACTCTAACTCATTATCGTAATAAATAAAACTCTAGTCGTTTTGTGAGCGAGCTTACGAAACTAGACTATTCATCCGAAAGCAAACGAAACCAATTTTTGGGTAGAGTTTTGAAGGAAAAGGGATCCTCTTCATGAAATTGAAAATATTCTCATAAAAAGACTAAAAAAGGCGACCGAGAGCTCTGTTGTTCAATAAGGCCGATCTTTGTTTACGCTTTTTTCCTCATTAGCATAAAAAGAAAATTTCAAGCTACAAGCAAACCGACTTTAGAAATCGAAAGAGAATGTCTTATTTAGTACCTACTGAAAATTTGAGAGTAATATGTTCAATATTTTGGGAGTAAAAGTTTTTCGAAAACACTTCAAATTACAAGGAATTGTATGGTTGTGTGGCAAGTCTTGCTACACCCGTAATAACGGTGACGCATTCTACAGTGAGGTTCCATTGAGGTACCCCCCCTCCACCAGGGTCCTTACAGAGGTGACGTCATGGCTATTCTTACTACCCCGTGTTTCTAGCCATGTCTGTTTTTAGTTTGCTGGATTGTATTATAGGCACCTGCTTGGATATTGTCTTTTTATTGTTGAACAAAACAACAAGATCTTTTCCAAACAATCGATGCTCTTCTAGACTACTGGCAAATAAATTAACAGTTAATATTTCTAAAACCAATTTTATTCTGTTTGGATCCATACAAAAACTTAAAGGCTTAGAACAAACACCGATATTAAAAATAATGGATAAAGCAATAAACAGAGTTTCTAGTACGACATTCCTTGGCGTCATAATTTTTGGCGTATTTTATATAGAGTCAGACATTTTCTTAACCTTGATATACTCAAAAACTTATATTACAACCTAATTTATTGTTGTGGCGTCACTTTAAGCGTCGCGTCCTTTTGTAGCGTCGCGTCTGTCTGTAGCGTCGCGTCCTTTTGTAGCGTCGAGTCCTTTCCTAGCGTCGCGTCTATTCTATTTATAATTATAAGTGGCGTCTTTAATGGCGTCGCGTTGGTTGGTTGTTGTTGTTGTCGTTTTATTTATATCTTGTAAGTAGTTTGTACAAGAGGAAGAATTCAAGAAAAAGGAAACAAACAAATTAATATGAACCCCTCCCTATGCTGACGTCAATGGTGGGCGAGCGCGCGAGGCCGCCAACCTTTATTAAGAAATGTTATTGATAGATAATGGCGGATTGGATGGGTAATGGCGGACATGATGGGTACTACTTAATGAACGATAACCTATTGATAACCCCAACAATACTTGAATCATAGATAACCTAACTATCAGATAAAAAGATTATACTTCAAACTAATTTAATATGATGATTGATAAAGAAATAAATGCACAAGCAAAATAAAAATAGATAACACAAGGTTAAAAGAGCATACAATAATATAATATATCACACGCAAACAATAATCAAACATTAAAAACAAACTGTCAATCAAGAAAATATGATGTAATCAATAAATAAAAATAAATAAGTCAATAAAATAAGATAAAAAATAGAAACAAAATAAAATAAAAGAAATGTAAGTAAATAATGAGAATAAATGACAAATTAAATAAATATTGTAATAATAGAATAATAAATAAATAAATAAATATTGTAATAATAAAATAATAAATAAATGAATAAAATCAAAATAAACAGTGTGGGCGTTATAATGACCTCTTATATCGAACTACTGATTTTTTTCTGATTTTTTCTTTTTTTTCCTGTACGTTTATTTTGTTTTATGAAATTTCTAGTTGTTCAGCTACGAAAACTACTGTACTATATATGATTCTTCCCATCTTACATATATGTAATTATTACTCATTTTCGTCTTAAGGGTGTAAGAGCTTGTTTAACCTCTGAGGTTGTTCTCTTGCACCCCCCACAATATTTGTAACTTATTCAATTTATGTATGTATATATATATTTTTGTGGAAATAAAAAACTGTTGTAACTGTTGTAACTGTTAGATTGACATCCACCCTAAGCGATTTTGAATTAATATGAAGCGGATGGATAACTATAGGCTATCGATATTGTATTTCTTAGTATTGGCCCACAAAATTGTGGTTAGGGCTTCATTAGCCCTATTCTCCTGGGCCCAGTTGTTCAAAGCCCGATTAGTGCTAATCCTGGATTAACTCTTAATAAGACCTATAGAGTTAGTCCTGGATTAGCGCTAATCCAGCTTTGAACAACCCGGCCCTGGGCAATGGCTCGGACTGTGGGTTCGTCTTCGTGTAGTTTTATCCACTTCATGCTACCTGTAGATCGGTGCCTTATCTTGACAGGCCAATAATTTTCTCCATCAATGTAGACACCAGGATGGTTAGGATCGGCTCTGTTACGCGATGTTCTATACATTTCTATAATATCGTATCCTTCTGGAATGTTTCGCAATGCTGGTGCTCCCGAGATGTAGTTTTGCCACACGGGGATAGCTGCATTTGACCAGATTATAGAACGATGTGCGAGTTTAGGTTGTTTTCTTTCTGGCTTTGTTTCGGTGCCAAACACTGGTGCTGAGTCGACACTACTGCTCACCTTAGTATTGGTGGAGAAGTTATAAACGTGATAGCTGCCAAACATGTCTCCAAGAACTTGCTTATCAGTTGGTGTATCGGGTTTGTTATCCACCAATATGGCTTTTCGGTCTCCCTGTGGTAGGCGGACATAAATTGGTCTCTATTCTTATGAAACATTCGCTCTCCAACGATTCCAATTTGTTTCCTGTTACTAGGGCTTTGGAAGAGAGCAAGATATTGGGCATTTCGACTAATATCTGTATTTAATTTCCCCTTAGGAAACATGTTCTGAAGCAAGAGGATAACGCTAGCGTTCCTATGACGACCCTGGGTAAATAATCGAGCTACTACAGGACTGTCTGTCGCTTCGGCCATCAAATCATCCAGTATGATTATGTTGTTGTACTTGGGATTATTCTCATTTAAATCCTCGGACAGCTCCGGAAGACCCCTTCCGAATCGAATGCTTTTTCCAAGATCTTTTCAAGACGTCGTAACGATCTTGCCATTGATTATAGCACCATAGGATGCGGATATTTTTCTGCTCTTCAAACACGATACGATTATTTTCTAAAATTTGCTGCACGAATTAGGTTTTACCACACTGTGTCGGGCCGACAACCAATAAGGAAAATTTATGACGGAAGTTGAAATCTGGACAAGGTGCAGTAGTCAAAGACAGCGATACTTTTGGTGTTTTCGTATATTTTAGTATAGGACTAGCACTTGTTCTCTTTCGAATGCATCTGATTTCTGTTATACTACGTGCTGGTCGTGCCGGTAGCAAGCTCGAGATGTGGTTTTGTAGTAGCGAGAACCTCGCAGTTCCTAACCATTTTTACCTTTCTTCCCCATATAGGTTATGTACTTGACGTAAATGATCACTCA